TGATAAGACCCATCACTGAGCTGTCTCAAAGGATCCCATAATGCATGAGGGGTTTGGACTTCATATACCCATGTATTTGCTTTGATAGATCTAAAAGATAAATGGAGCAACAAGAATTTTCTGTGGATGTTCCCACTTATAAAGAACACTTTGCTGGATCTTTGTGCACTGACAGAAAGTGGTTATGTTTGTCTCCCTTAAGGAGTCTGGCAGGGCTGCTTCTCCCTTGGTTTAGGCAGAACTTGTAGAAAGGTTGTCATTTTTCACTCAGATTATGTTAAAATTCTTATCTCTTGGTGAAGAACAAGATATCTACATAAAAGGTTCAGAAGACTGGACTCTTAGGTCCATGCTCTCTGTTCCTACTCTTCTCCATTGTTTTCTACTCTTGCAATTCAGTTTTCTTTATTGTGCATTGAACTGCTGCATGATGGACAGATGCTGTTCAGTCATGAAAGAATGACACTAGATAACTGCATTTTGGGGCTTTGAGAGATGATGTTCTTGTGTTCTCAAGACTCCCTTCAAACATTTGCAGGTTTAAAATCGGCAAAGTTAGACTGATCATAAATATTTCTTCACTGTATCAGGAAAACTGTTTCTTGGAGAAATTTAATCTACTCAGTCTCTTGTATCATCAGGGGGAGAAGTATGAAGGGAGATTGAGGATGTCTTTGTATTATGCTTCCCAGAACAGGTCTTGATGGAAGGCTGGATATGAGACTGGAAGCTGTAGACTCTCATTCTCTTTTTTATGAGAGAAAGCTTGTTTCACTAGAGTTACGGAAGCGCCGGCGATGTCATGGCAAGGCTAGAGCAGCACGGACAAGATCATCAGGTATGCATGGCTAGAGTCTTAGATGAGCAGCTAGTCAAAAACAAGCAACGAAGGACTTTTTCATTTGAAATGTTTGTGAATGGGGTTGTTCTGGCCTTTGTAGTCCCTAAAGGGATTCACAGGTTGACGTTAATAGTTTTCATTTCAAGTAGTAGTTTTCAATTCATTCCTCTTCTGACCTTCCTGCCTTCTTAGTGCCTAGAATTTCATTCCCACCATTCCACATCCCCATGTATATGACTAAAGGTAATATTTTCTTGAAGATGATCTTGCAGTTGCATTTTGGGTACAAGAATTCAACAGTACGTGTGCCTCTGTAGTCCTCCAGGTTTTCAGAGAAAGATGAAAACTTGGGACCTTCCAGGCTGGTCCTCCTACGCAGCAGTGACTCTAAGCTGTTGGAAAGAGAAATCCTTCTTAACCAAGCTGATTTGGGAAGAAACTTAAAAGGAAACAGAAGTGAATGATCCTCACAAGTGGCTCTTCCTGAAGCCATTTTCTAAACTCTTTCTAGTAGCTATGTGATACTGACTGCAATGGGAGAGATTGTAGGTTATAAAATTATTTTTGGTCCGATGTTAAGGTATGTGGTCTTTATTAGCACAAGTGAAAGTTTAGATTTTGTAGCTTTGGTTTTTCTGATACACAAAAATAGAAAGAATTAGTATATACATCAAGTGACAGAGCACTGGAACAGGCTGCCCAGGAAGGTTGTGGAGTCTCCTTCTCTGGAGATATTCAAAGCCTGCCTGGACGAAGTTCTGTGTAACATGCTCTAGGTGAACCTGCTTAACCAGGAGGATTGGATTAGATGATCTCCGGAGGCCCCTTCCAACCCTTGCCATTCTGTGATTCTGTGAAGTATGAGTGTATATATATGTCAGTATGTATGTAAGAATTGGGATTTAGGAAAATGCCTTTGTTGCATTGATTTCCGCCCCTCCCCCCCCCCGTTTGTGAAGTTAAGACATGAATCTTGATTTGTCTCCTATGATATTGGGAAAACGGACTTCTCAACAGTTATGATACACAAGCAGAAAGACAGAAAGAATAATAAAGTGCAGCAATACTTAAGATGCTATTCTAAAATGGTGTTCTGTCCTTTTAGCAGAAAAGAGTTTAGAAGTAAACCAAAGGGTTTAAATAGCAGGGCAGTCTTCCCCATTTCTTTTTTTTAACTAGTATAGGTGATTTTTCCTCTACTACAGGGACATCAGAACCAACAAAGCTGTCCCTCAAGTCAGACACAGAAGGTGAGGAGGAAGAGGAGGTGGATGCAGATGAAGACAACGAACTAGATAGAACTGTTGACTCTCTTTCGGACACCCAGGTGAAAAGCAAGCCAAAGCTCTCTGACTTGGTGAAACCTACTTGTAAGGAGAGGGTGCCAAAAAAACTTGACAAGAAAACCGGAGATGGTGGAGAGCCTTTTCTTCAAAAACCAGACTCAGAATCTCAGTTTAACTTGCTGCAGATTCTTCAAAAGCATGGAAACCTGAGGTGAGAGATTTCTGCATATTGTCTTGAATTTTGCCTAGCAGCTAATATTGGTTAAAATATGGAGGATGTATACTTGGTGCCACATTATGAATAAGTGTGAGGAGATAAGAGTACCCTAGAGAAAGGGGCATGGATTTTTGTCTAACTGTGGGCTGCCTTAACAACCAGTTGGTACAGAAGGGAGATAGTTTCAAAGACGGACAGTTTACCTAAATACCTGACCTGGTGGATCAGTATAAAGCATAAGCCATAGTGTCCATTGCTATTCTCTAATCTGGTGATGTGAGCTGTTCTTTGGTCAACTCCGGCTTCTAAAATATCTCTGTCTTAATGCAGGATACCTGCTATTGAATTCTAAATTTTTTCTTTTTTTGCATTTCTGAAGAGGTGAGTATAGACATATCTTGAACTATCATAGTCATTTGATTGGAAAAGACCTTTAAGACAGAGTCCAACTCTGCCTGTCTGCTACTAAACCATGTCCCTAAGCACCTCGTCTGCCCATCTTTTAAATACATCCTGACATGGTGACTCCACCATTTCCCTGGGTAGCCCATTCCAGTGCCTTTCAGTGAAGAAATTTTTCCTAATATCTAATCTGAACCTCCCCTGGTGCAACTTGAGGCCATTTCCTCTTGTCCTGTCGCTTGTTACTTGGGAAAAAGACTGACACCCACCTCACTACAACCTACTTTCGGGCAGTTGTAGAGGGCAATAAGGTCTCCCTTCAGCCTTCCCTTCTCCAGGCTAAACAACCCTAGTTCCCTCAGCTGCTACTCATCAGACTTATGCTCCAGACCCCTCAAAGGAAGGTTGGGTTACGAATACCTTAGTGCTGTCTCTCCATAAAATTGGTCTTCTCATTTTTGTGCTTTTTTTTACTGATAAAATTTTTACCTCCAATAATAATCTCTGCTCAAGGTCATCACCCCTGAGAGCAAGATAGGAGGTCATTTGAGAGTGACAAATTACTGAAACATCTCATTGCCTGCTCTTGAGTATGACAGTGTGGAGCAGAGAATGTTTTGTTGCATGGCTCTGTTGCTTGAGAGAGAGAGGTGTTGGAGGAGATTGTATAGAATAACACCAACCAGGGTCCTACTAGATGTTTAGAAGCATGATCCTCCCCCTAAAATGCGGGTAGTAAAACTGTCTATTTGTGGGTGGACAGGAAGAGCAGTAAGAAAGAGTGATCATATGTATCTGCATAGGAGGATTGTATGTCTTCTAGGTAAGAAGTAGCATTATGTTTTCTGTGAAAGATGTACAAAGGTAGAGAAAATAATTGTTGCTTGTTGTTGCTTTCTTAGTTTAGCTTCTGAGAGGACTTAAGAATTATCAGATGGATTTGGGGATTGTTCTGATGTCTTCATGTGGCAAGGACATTTGCTGTTGTGACAGGGAAGATTCTGAAACCTGTTTTGAGGACAAACATAGCAATGCTGTCATCTACCTATATATAGAACTAACTCCTGCCAAGAATGTAAGCTCTGTCTCATGTTCCTGGCAGAATCTTGCTCAGCACCCAGTACTGTTGGGATTCCCTACAGAAGTGTGTAAGGCTTGTAGTGACCTCATGTTCCAGGATCATGCTGGGCTTGGCCCCATCTGATCTGATCTGTCTTTGATGAAAGCTTTGCTTGTGGGGACAACAGGCAGAGGAGCTGAAGTAATGACACTTTCATCCAAAAGAAACCAGGCCTGTTCCAGTCAGTCTTTGTAAATGGTAGGACTTCTCTCTCTCCTTTAGTCAGCCTGATGAGGCAATTTGTCTCCCTTCCACACATTGAGTGTTAGTGGTGAAGAGGTGACAGTTGAATAAAACTTGTTCCCCCAACTGTGCCGTTCCCAGGGAAGTGAAAAGAAAGGGGAGTTACTTGTTCCTGCATTTAAGGCCTCAGGTTTCAATATTCCACGCACTGGAGGAGAGGCAGTGTTTTACAAGGACCTTCTTTAGTTTCCCATTTTGTAATCACAGAAGAATTGTATTACTGTGCGGATGTTGATAATGGGGGCTCCTTAATTCCTACCAGTACAAAGCTTGAACTCCTGGTCATGAGATGTTTGAATTACACCTAAAACAAACCCAGCAGCCCTAGAGAGCCCGCAAGGGAGAGCCTTTTCTGATATATGGTAGCCTCATGTATAGAGTATTAGTCAGGGTTCAGAGTGTTCTCATGTTCCACACATATGGGAAGAGAAGGTAGGTGTGGTGACTAGCAGCATACAGGCCTGCTGTGCATTCTGGAGTTCACTTGAAGACAGGTATTTTTATCGTGGTTTAGTTACTGCAGTACTGGTACAACTATCCACAGAGGATGTTAGTTTTGAGACTCTTCTGAACTCATCATTTGCTTAGCCCCTCTTTGGGCCTGGCATGGTCTTCCAGAAGCTTCAAAAGCTAATGATTAAGTAGATGCATGGATATTTTTAATGTATTTTATTTTAACTTCAATTTTTATCTAAATTGATGCATTGATCTCTAAGTGCTACTATGTTGTATGATTTCTATGTAACACTGTAACGAAGTGTTCATGAAATGGGGTCATGTACATGGAGTCATGAGGACAATATAAGCACCTGAGAACATTCCTAAGAAGCAGAGAACAAGTAGAGAAAAAATGGTGAGGTTCCTCAGGAATCAGTCTGAGGCTGGTTTTAATAATCAATTCAAAAATGACACAAAAATGTAGAAATGTATTAACGAAATTTGCTGATCGAAAAGATTTCAGAGTTATTACCATGAGAGAAAAGTAGTGGAATAAATATAGGAAAAACTGGATGACCTTGAAGATAGGAATAATGCAATTAGGATGGGATTCAGTAACACAAAGTGCAAGGGCATGCTTTTAAGAACTAGTATCTTACAGCAGAAATTCTAACAGGTGGGTGTTCATCTACTGGAAATTAATTATAAGGAAAAACATCTTGCATGCTTGTTGATCACAGGAGGTTTGTGGAGCTGTAGCTCAGGCATGCATGAAAACACCAAAAGTGGTCTAGGGTTTATCACTTGAGATACTTCTGAGGCTTGATGTGGAATATTGTATACAGTTGCTATCACCGATGTTTATAGAAGTTAAATTGTGACTGGAACAGGTGGATAGGAGCTGCTAGTCTCACCATGTCACCAGCATGGGTGCTTTGCTAGAAGACACTGAAAGATGTGGATAGTTCACACCAACAAAATGAAAACTACGGAAGGATGTAACTGCTGTTAATAAATACATTCAAAGCAGGAGACCCATCAGGGATGAAGTTATTTAAGATACAGGACAATGTTGGAGAAAGAAAAAGCAAATATAAATCGCTCATGAATGAGGCTAGGCTGGGTAGTAAAAGAAGGTTCCTAATTATTAGAACACTAAGTTCTAGAATAATATTCCAGGAAAGTAATGGGTTGAAAACTCCAGTTTGTTTTAAGATGGAACTTGGTAATTTTATAGAAAAGATTAGGACATTGCCTGTGACAGAAGGGGAATCTATCACTGATGCTAAAGCCCATCTGCTTCTACATCCTTATGAAAAGGAAAGGAGAAATCGTGCTTAGCAATTCAAGGGACAGCTTGTAGTGACTGTGGGGAAAACTATGAGGAAGAGTAGCGGGGAAAACTATGAGGAAGAGTAGAGACTGGGAGAGCAGAATGTTGGAGAAGAGGGTTTAGGCCAAGATGGCAATGAACAGAATTAGGCAAAGCTTTCAGCAATTTCTCTCACAACAGATGCATATGCTAAAGTATCTACTGTTGTGAGGGAATGAGAAGCAATGTATCCCTTGCAGTCCTACCCCAGTCCTCTCCTCAGTTGATCTTCATAGCTTCCCAACATGTTCAACCAGATGCACAGCAGATTTTGCTGATGCTATTTCATTCTTCAGTGATGCCTTGCTCAATGAAATTTGTCTTTTGTCCTTGGGCCAGCAGGGGAAGAGCTTACTTTCACAGATTTAATTCTTTAATTTCCAATGGGAATTGCAGGGCCTTTGTTATAACTCTGGCACCAGTACCAAGCCCTTTGTTTTATGGTTTGTTGTTGTGGTGTTCAAAATGCTTGTGAAGACAGAGGCCCAAGAGAGCCTTGAATTTGGTTTAAAAATACACAGTTTTGCTGATGTTCTTACTGGCTTTTGGAAGAAAGTAGATAAGGCTGTGAAAAGGCAAGGAGAGCATTCCATTTTTAGAGATGATCTTAAGAGAGTACTTAAGAGAGTGTCTGTTCTCTTTTTGTATCGCCTGCAATACCATCTTGGTGAACTGAAGGTCTCCTTGAAAATACTGGTGGGGAGAAGGGATCCTTGTTCCCCTGAGCTTCAACATTTGTGCACCTAGGAGGTCCTTGCTGACTGTACTTTGGTCCATAACCTGTGCCTGACTGCTGTAAGTGTTCCCATTACTACTCCAAAGATAGCTGACTGATTCTTTTGATCCACAGCAAAGTGCAAGCTCGCAGGGCTTTCTCTGCCTATCTACAGCATGTTCAGTTGCGACTGATGAAGGAGGCTGGTGACCAGATCCAGAATCCTGCCTGGGCTGCCAAAGAGGATGAGCAAATGGTAAGACTGAGAAACCAAGCTGAAATCTGGCTTGAGAGTTTTGAGGTCAGTTCCCATCCTTGGAAACTGAAGTCCAACCGAGATTATAGTTGTTGATCTTTGTCCATCTGCCAGTGCTGTATTTTTAATATACAGACAAGGTAGAACTGCTGACTGACATCTGAGAGTGATAGAGTAGACAGCTCTTCATGACTAGAGTGTGTTTGACATTCAAGCTGCTCAGATCTTTCACTGCTTCTCCTTCACTGATCTCTGAGCTTACCTGCTTTTGAATTCTTCTCTCTAAGATTCTTTCAGCTTACTTGGCAGTATCCAGTTTCTGCTGCTTTAAACAAAGCATGCATCTACTCAAATAGAACAAGTACCCAGTTAAGCTTTTTCTCCTATGTACTGTTTTATTCTTTGCAAAAAGTAAAAGCTACTGAGGAGAGAAAGTTACTTTCTAACAGAGGCGGTGGTGATTTTTTATTAAAACCATGTAATTAATTTTTTTAGGCGGTATTTTAAGGCCCTATATTTGATGTATATACGTTTTAGAGTGCAGCAAGCCCAGATCCCCTCACAACAAACCTTCCTGAAAGAGTTTAGTATAGTAGGCTCTTGAGTGTTCTGCAAATCCAAATGTATTCTTGCTGAATGCACGTTGTAAGGAAACAGCCAGTGCAGTTCAGAGATAAAATTGTGTGTCAAGAATAATCAGTCGACTCAGTGGAAAATGTTACCCCTGCTCTTTCCAAGTGGAAATTAAAACTGGCTTTTCGAGAGTCACTTTGTCTGCTGTACTGTGAAAAATAATGTTTAAAATAACAGATCAAACCAGCCTGGAGTAATGGCAGTGAGAGGCGAGCTGTGAAATCCAATAGTTTGGCTGTGAGGCTGCTCATTTGTGCATTAGCAGAGCTCCTAACCAAAAGCAAATCCAGAGGGGAGACAGAAAGGGTTCAAAATACCCACAGGATGCATCTCGCCTTAGGATCTGCCTTGCCGTATGTTTCCCCCACCAGAGGTCAAACAGACTTGATGGGGGATTGGAATTACATGGCTGTAGATGCAGTCAGCTGTTGCTGTGGAGAGGCTGTGGCAGTAGTAAATGTATATGAAAAGTGATGAAATGGGGCTACGTCACTGACGAGGAGATATTTGACCATGATCCCCTTCCCCGTGATAGTGCTGAGAGGGTTTTATGTCAGAATGCTTCATCATAGGCCTTCTTTAACACATTGCAGGTTGTTTTTTGGAAATGTTCTCCTAAGGTATTGGACTTTACAGATTATTCTGTGTTGTTGCTGCTTGGTTGTTTTTTTTTTTGTTCATCTGCCACACTTGTCAGACAAACACTCCTCAAGTGTTCCCAATTCTGACCAACCTCAGGCAAGGCACACCATCGTTCTCCCCCCACCTTGGATTTGTAAGGCTGTATTAAAAGTGCACATTGCAGGATGCTTTTGCCTGCCAGTTGACGGCTCGCTTTCTCAGGACAGTGTGTTTAGTTCTTGCTAGTCCTTAGCTGCTGTAGTACCTCTGTTCTCTTCTCCCCATGTCTTGCAATGGATCCGTTGTTAACTCCATCTCTCTTGCTTGCAGGAGCTTGTGGTACGCTTTCTGAAGCGAGCTGCCAGCAATCTTCAGCAGTCCTTGACGATGCTGCTCCCCAGCCGTCGTTTAGGACTAAATGATCGTCGTCGCATCCTGGCTCACCAGCTGGGCGAGTTCATAATCTGCTATAACAAGGTGACTAATTATTTCTTAATTCTTCTTCTGGTAATTCCTTTGGTTTCTTTTCTCTTCTGAAGTATCTCCTGCTGGCTACTGTCATGGTCAAGACAGCAGGCTGTTTTAAAGGCTCTGTTCTGTAATTTACATGGTCTATTTGCAGTTGCACATCCAGTAATGGTAGTTTGTTCAAATTGTCAGATAGAGAACAGCATTACTACATTACATATGCAGTCTGGTAATCATGTGCATAGAATTAAAAAGAAGTGTTGAAATGAAATGGAATTTAACTGGCAGTTTGCTTTTTCTTTGTCTTGTCTTCTATTCTACTACTTTGTAATGCCTCTTCCCATTTCTCCCTATTTTTATGATGCTTCTTTAGAGGTAACTTTTTTTATACAGAACAGTATGAAATAGGTATTTTACCATTTGTTTGGTATACTGAGGGACTACTACCTATCTGTAGTATGGGATTCTGCATGCTCAGTGATAAGGAGAAGTAGGTCCTAATTTAAATAACTTTAACCTCTTCAGGTGTAGAAGATGCTGGTTTTAGGATAGTGGTTTCGTGCTAATCCTTGTTTTGCAAGAACAGCTTCCCCTTTCCTTTGCCCCCAGCATTTCTTTAGTGTTAGAACAAGGATAGTTTAAATTTTTGCTTTCAGATGTTGCTGTGCGCGTAGGCCTCCAAGCTCCTCCTCATTAGCAGAGGATGTCAGTTCTGACAAGGTAATGTAAGTGAACATCTGGTAACTTGATCTATCAAAGCAAGGTTGGTATTGAATCAAATCTGTTCCAGGGAGTGCCTTGTATGCCGAATACTCACTGAATTACTGTGTTAGGAGTAACCACAAAACACTTGGGTGGCTCTGTGGTGAGTGAAGAACGCAGCTGCTTTGGATAGAATTTCCACTCAAATTGTATTCAAACATGAGGATTTTCTGCTAACTCTTGAGCAAATTCATAAAATAATGCTACATAACTGGTAATAAATAAGTGCATAAACATATTTTCTCAGTTAAAGCAAGTGAGAACAGATCACTTGAGGTTTTAGGACATAACACGTTTAAGCCATTGAGAGGTGTGAGGTTTTTTGCTGTCTGATTCCAACACAGACTTCTTTCACTGACTTGTAACTTCAGATTTAGCAGGGGACTCCTACTAGCCATTATGTATCTTCTGTAATGACAGAGAAGAAGAAATACTACTTCCATCAAACTAAGTAAACCAGATAACATATTGTCCAGACTTGCACTTAAGTAGTTAAGGGGAGAGACATGTCCCAGAGTGGCTTTTTCTTCCCCCTCTTGAGTTATCTTTCAAAAGATGCATCTGATCCTTTTGTCCTGGGAATGGTCAGAATACCAGTAGGAAGCGATGAAGTGGAGGTCAAGTCCACTCAGATAAAGCTTGTATGCTGGTATTGGTATTTCAGACAGGCCTGTAGGGTTTTTTTAACTAACAAAAATGTTTGTATCAATACAACCTCTGGTGTCAACAAGTTCTAGTGGTGTAAAATAGATCATTTATATCTGAGAGCTTGCTCCCATTCACACACAAAGGTTTACCGTCTTTTATTCCAGTATATTTTAGTGTATAAATGCATATTTGCCACAGGCTGTACTGTTTTACTTTCTTTGCTTTTGCTAAAGCAGTATATTTTTGGTATGTAGATAAGCCCTCTGCAATTTGCTGCATGACAAGAGAAATTAACTCAAGAGAACTCCTAGTTTACAGTAGGAAATGTGGATGCCCTCAGCAGACCTCCTTGATTGAGTTTCTTTTAATGTAATTTTATATTTTTGTCCTACTTTCTTCATGAATATCTCCTTTTGGGACAGATGCTCAAATAAAAGCTATTTTGAGGAACTCTGTATTTGTGACAGAAACAGTGGAAGTAGAAAGTGTACCTAATATCTGTGAAGAATGATTGTGTTTGGTTTTTTTTCTCCATACTTCCTTATGTCCCAGCAAAGAGTATATTTGAAGGAGCAGCACGTATTTGTGAAGAATTGACCTTTTCTCAGCAAATCAATTCTAATAAGTTATGTCAGGTGGAGGAATGAGAAGTTTAGTGTATGCTTAGCATGCTGTCTCTGGGGCTCACTATATTTATCCATTCTGTTGCACATAATGAAATACTTATAATTTGGCTCTTTGGACTTGACATTCTTTTTTCTTAGGTTCCATGGAATTGTTTTTATCTTTTCTGAGCTGTAGCTATGCCATGGAACATAAAGTAACTACATGGAGACACTTACTGATACTGCTTATTAACAGGAAACGGAGCAGATGGTTCAGAAGCGATCAAAAAAGAAACAGGAAGAGGAGGAGGAGGGAGTGAATCCTGAAGGCTTTCAGAACTTTATTACCAGAGCAAGGTAAGAATGGATTGTGTTCCCTTTGATAAAGGATCTCCCAGCCCTGAGGTGATGGGATTTTTCTAAAGACAATCTGATTGATCTAAAGGCCTCTCTAGATACCTTTATTGATCATAGTACTTGCTCCTGCTCTTGCTGGGGGACAGAGAACTTGTCTTTTCTCTTTTCTCCTTTGCAGCAACCAAACACTTGTAGCATCAGCATCTTGTGCATAGAGAAGGACATACAATAGATGTTTTGACCATTAAGTAGATTCATGAAGGACAGCAGCGGTTGCCCTAGACTATGTAAATTTCAAGCCGATGCTGGTGAGCTTATGGCCTCCCTTCCTGTGATCCTGGAGCAAATGCAGCAGTACTTTGGAAGGAGAATGAAACTAGAGCTGCTGCTCAGATGGCCTTGAGCTGCTGTGGTTCAACAGTTGTTGTGGCTTTGGCTCTCAAGTTTCTGCTCTGGGAAACAAATCTTATGCTTGCTGCCTCTCTTCAGGAACTCTCCAGGTCTGGACTTTCTGAGATGAGGAAGGAAGGGAGTTGGACACCCCCCCC